TCTATTGATACAATTTCTGGCTTATGTGAAGTGGTGCCTGGAGTAAAATTTTGCAGATTGGGTGCCTCTGACATTATTACCAGCAATCAAAAACTATCACACCTCTCTAAAAGATGGCTCATAGCCGTTTTTAGAGACACCCCCACCCCGCACCCCCGGCGGACTCAATTGCTGAAGACTGCTCCATTCACCAACCGGGATCTGCTGAAGGCCCCACCTTGGTGAATGTCCACACGGGTTTCATGGGACAGTGTGGCATATATGATAATATGGATGTTGAGAAGTGTCAGCCCAAATCACCGCTTGTCGTTCCCCACCTCCATCCCCCGGAGGTAAATGGGTTAAAGAGACAGAACGGGGAGTCGAGGCAGGCCCCAGCGGAGCCACTTAGGCTCTAGTTGAGGGGATAAAGGTAAAACAAAATCTCTCAGATGCATATTCCTTCCCCTTCCAGCCCATGAAAAGACAGGACAAAGCTCTCCATCCCCTTCAACTCTCAACCCCCCGGGCCTCCTTCTCTTAAACTCCCGCCACCGCTTCCCTCCCCGACGTCTCGCCAGGGACCTCCTCACTCCTTAGTCCAGGGCTTCGCCGCCAGGATTTCTTGCTGCTGTTTCTTGTCGTATTTGTAGATTTCATCGATACTCTGAGCTTCTTGCATGTTGTTGGCCAGTTCCCAGGTTTTCTGGGCCATTCCGCTCCCGGACGCCGCCATCGCCGAGGAGTCGGAGAAGTTGCCTCCACAGCGAAGACGCAACTTCACCCCACTATGTCTCGGGGTGAGGGCTTCCAACCCTCCCCCCAACCGGTGCTACACTCTTACAAGACTCTCGAGGAAGCCATGACACCTGGAACCGGAGGTGAAGGTGGTACAGACCATTCGGGGATGGCGGGGGCTCTTCGGGGAAGCGACAGTATAAACAGAAGTTACAACAGTAGGGAAAGAGAAATATTCTTGTGGCTAAAATGAGAACATCTCCTCACGAAAATCATATGTGTGAGTTAGAACAAACACAATTATCGGGCATGGGAATGGTACAGCCTTCCGTACCGGAAGAAGGTCATGTAAAAATTATGCCAGCACCTGGAATTAGCCTTCTTGGTTCGTACTGCGCAGGCCCGGCCTCCGCCATATTAAAAATGGGTAGAGCTTTACGCTATTATGGGGGAAAGAATTGTCTTTGTGAAATTGCAGGTACCTTAAATAAGATGGGTTCGCTGAATAACTAAAAAATAAGAATGTCTGTGGAATGCTGACATATTCCTAGTTCTGGATGCTGGTTGAAAGAAGATAAACGCATCCTGTTGTACTTCAAGACGACGAACTACACATGCTTAAAAGGGTGGTTTGGCACATCGCTTTCAGATGCGCGCCCTCTAGTGTTGGGAGGAGGTATGGAAACACGTGGACAGTTGTGGTCCTGCCTCTCGGCTTGTTTGTAAAAATTAGCATCTATATTCAATGTATTATGAGCTAGTTAGTGTTCCGAAAATATCCAATACTGCTTTTATAATAGATACAGTTATATCTTCAATACCAGTCTGTGAAAGCACTTCTGACCCTGAGCCCGAGTTAATCTCAGCAACCTGTTCTCTTCTAACAGTTCATAACGAAGTCTAATTATTTCATTTATTAGTTTACTTGTTTTAGGTCATCCCCACCCCCCACCTCAACTCCGATTCTAAGTTCCAAGACGCAGGAACTGGGTCTGTCTTATTCCTTGTTTTATCTCTAACATCTAGCATATTGTTGTGTGCCCTGGAGTGGATTCCGACTCATAGCGACCCCGTATGACAGAATAGAACTGCCCCGTAGGGTTTCCTAGGCTGTAATCTTTGCGGAGCAGATCACTGGACCTTTTCTTCTGCAGAGAGCCTAGTGGGTTCAAGCCGATGACTTTTTCGGTTAGCAGCTGAGGCTTTAACCACCGTGTCACCACTACTCCTTCTTAGCATATTAGATGTTCAGTAACTTTTTGTTAAAAAAAAAGAGAGAAATATTGTTAAAACTCTTCACCTGGTTCCTGTGCTCCTCTGTAGCTTCATTTCTCTTTAGTTTCCCCTGAAACTTTTCATTCCTGCAATACCAGTGCATTTATTTTGGCTTTGCATATGAGGTCAGGACTGCTTGAAATTATCTTCCCTGACATTTCTGCCTGGAAACTCATGTTAATCTTTAAAAACACAGGTCAGGGATTGCCACCATGAAACCTTCTTGACTTCCTCCTCTCTCCAGTGATCATTCCTTCTACGGTGTATTTTATTAATTTTTAAAATGATGTATTTGTTTACCTGAAAGTTTTCGTTTTCACTGTAAGACTCAGTGCAGGACACTCTGCTGTGCGTTGCATCCTCCACTCGTAGTATTAAAAAAAAACCAAACCCGTTGCCCTCCAGTTGATTCTGACTCATAGCGACCCTCTAGCATAGTGCCTAGCATATGGTTAAAAAAAAATTTGAATTATTGTCTCCACACCCTGGCTTGTGGGTTTCACATTGACTTCCAGCTGAAGAAAATTTCCCTTTAAAAGTTTCCTTACAAAGTAATTTAGGATCAAGGACCCTTAGTTCCACTCTCCTGGGAAGCTAGAGATCTCTATTCTTGTCATAGCATTTGGCCACTCAGTATTGGGGTGAAGTGAATAACATATTGAGAGTAGTAATAAAAGCCCAGGACATAATGTTGACTAGACTCTTAGAAGAGGAGTAATTCCCTGGAAAGGCATGCCAACAGTTTTCTTCTCACTTTCTCACCTCTTCTTTTTTTCTTTCCATGCTCTAATGGATCCAAGGGAATGCAGAAATTATTGAACAATATCATTAATATCACACATAAGTTAAATTTTCCTGAAAATCATTCAAAAGTGCATGCCACAGTACATCAACAGGGAACTGTCAGAAGTTCAAGCTGGATTCAGAAGAGGGTGTGGAACAAGGGATATCATTGCTGATGTCAGATGGATCTTGGCGGAACAAGGGATATCACTGCTGATGTCAGATGGATCTTGGCTGAAAGCAGAGAATACCAGAAGGATTTTACCTGTGTTTTATTGACTATGCAAAGTCATTCAACTGTGTGGATCATAAGAAATTATGCGTAACATTGCAAAGAATGGGAATTCCAGAACACTTAATTGTGCTCATGAGGAGCCTGTACATAGACCAAGAGGCACTTGTTCGAACAGAACAAGGGGATACTGCATAGTTTAAAGTCAGGAAAGGTGTGTGTCAGGGTTGTATCCTTTCACCATACTTATTCAAAGTGTATACTGAGCAAATAATCTGAGAAGCTGGACCATATGAAGAAGAATGAGGCATCAGGATTGGAGGAAGACTTAATAACAATCTGTCGTATGCAGATGACACTATCTTGCTTGCTGATAGCAAAGAGGACTTGAAGCACTTACAGATGATCAAAGACTACAACCTTCACTATGGATTACACCTCAACATAAAGAAAACAAATCATCACAACTGGACCAATAAGCAACATCATGATAAATGGAGAAAAGATGGAAGTTGTCAAGGATTTCATTTTACTTAGATTCACAATCAATGCCCATGGAAGCAGCAGTCAAGAAATCAAATGACGTATTGCATTGGGCAAATCTGCTGCAAGAGAACTCTTTAAAGTGTTGAAAAGCAAAGATGTCACGCAGAGGACTAAAGTGCACCTGACCCAAGCCATGGTATTTTCAGTTGCCTCCTGTGCATGGGAAAGCTCGACAATGAATAAGGAAGACCAAAGAACCGGCAACTTTGAATTATGGTGTTGGTGAAGAATATATGTATATATATATTTATTGTACTTTAGATGAAGGTTACGGAACAAACTAGCTTCTCATTAAACAGTAAGTACACGTATTGTTTTATGACATTGGTTAACAACCCCTTGACATGTCAACACTTTCCATTCTCGACCCTGGGTTTCCTATTATCAGCTTTCCTGTCCCCTCTTGTCTTCTAGTCCTTGTCCCTGGGCTGGTGTGCCTTTAGTCTCGTTTTGTTTTATGGGGCTGTCTAATCTTTGGCTGAAGGGTGAACCTCAGGAGTGACTTCATTACTGAGCTAAAAGGGTGTCTGGGGGCCATACTCTCAGGGTTTCTCCAGTCT